CTCTGTGGTATGAATATTATAAAATGTGCTGATATGGCTTTGGGGTTTAATACTACTTTTGCAGCCTAGTGCATCCTTCTGAGTGGGGCTGGGGTCCTCCCGGGGCTGGGGAAGACCCAGGCCCTCCTTGCTACAGGAGTCCCTGTCTCCTGGCCCTCACTCAGCTGGGAAATAGGATGCAGTCTTTTCCGACAACACATGTCCTAACCCTCCTCTCCTTCTCTCTTCTCCCCCTCCCCTTCTTCCATAGGTCTTTTCTCCGGAGTCCTGGGAGGTGGGTTATGGGCAGGCCTGCCCCTGGCTGGCACCATGTCGCCTGAGTCTGCTTGCGCCCTGCGCTGGGCCCGGCTCTGCCTGAGCACTCAGCTTCTCTCTGCTTCCCTTCCTGCGGCCCGCCACTGCTGAGGAGGTAGACCCTCAGGACTGCCCTAGGCCCGTTTCTACCTTTCGCCCAGCTCACGTTGCTGCCTGCTCCTCCTCCATCACGGCACCGCTGACCTCAGCCCTGTCCCCGGCCTCCCTGGCTGGGGCTTTCCGGGGTCCATTGGGAGGATCTCGTTGCTGAAGGCTTCCTCCTACACCGCGCCTTCTCCTCCTCAAATCAAGGCCTCCGGATCCACATGGATAGCTGAGATCTTGTCTTGGAGAAAGACACTCGTCCTCACCTTCCCCACCCAGTGCCATTCTCTCCTGCTGCCCTGTCTATTTTCCTGCCTCTTTACTGGATTTCTTGCTCGTGCCCATCTGGGACCGTCTGTCTTGTTCTCTTTCTTCCTGCTTCTCCCTCTTGATATTTGTGTGTGTGCCTCCTTCCTCCTGTGTGTTCTCTCTTCCCACTCTGTCTTGTCTGCCTCTCTCCCTTCCACCACCAAAGGGAGATCCTTCCCCGGTTCCTGGCCTGTGCTCCTTGGGGCTCTGTGCCCGCAGCCAGGATGAGCTTCACCCTCCACTCAGTTTTCTTCACCCTCAAGGCCAGCATCCTGCTGGGGTCCCTGCTGGGGCTCTGCTTGGGCCTGGAGTTCATGGGCCTCCCCAACCAGTGGGCCCGCTACCTCCGCTGGGACGCCAGCACGCGCAGTGATCTGAGCTTCCAGTTCAAGACCAACGTCTCCACGGGGCTGCTCCTCTACCTGGACGATGGTGGCGTCTGTGACTTCCTCTGCCTCTCCCTGGTGGATGGCCGCGTTCAGCTCCGCTTTAGCATGGACTGCGCTGAGACTGCCGTGCTGTCCAACAAGCAGGTGAACGACAGCAGCTGGCACTTCCTCATGGTGAGCCGCGACCGCCTGCGCACCGTGCTGGTGCTGGATGGCGAGGGCCAGTCTGGGGAGCTGCAGCCCCAGCGGCCGCACATGGATGTGGTCAGTGACTTGTTCCTTGGTGGAGTCCCCGCTGACATTCGGCCTTCTGCCCTGACCCTTGATGGAGTACAGGCCATGCCCAGCTTCAAGGGATTAATCATGGATCTCAAATATGGCAACTCGGAGCCTCGGCTTCTGGGGAGCCAGGGCGTCCAGATGGAAGCCGAGGGACCCTGTGGTGAGCGTCCCTGTGAAAATGGAGGGATCTGCTTCCTCCTGGACGGCCACCCCACCTGTGACTGTTCTACTACTGGCTATGGTGGCACGCTGTGCTCAGAAGGTAAGGTCCTCTCCCCTCTCCAATCTTGATAGAGACCCACCCACTGGATTGGGTGAGGGCCCAGGTGCATGGTAGAAGTGAGCTCTATGTTCAAGCACATCTTAAGCTGCCTGTTCAAAGAGAATTGGGCCCTGAGGAGGCAGAGGAAATCCTTTGCTTGCTCTCAATGGAAAAATCTATCAGATCTCAGCTGGAGGAGAATCCTGGCCACTCAACCAGAGGCTGTGTACTCAACTCAAAGGGCTACATGGAGAAGACTGAAGAGTCCTCTCCAGCTTGGCTCCTTCTGCTGCAGCATGGTTGAGCAGGGTCAACACCAAACAAGAAATTAGATAGAAATTGGCAAAGTGGCTGTCTCTGTCCTCATGCCCCTTTAAGACTTGGGTGCTTGGGGATAAATGGGAAATTCCCCATCACTTCCTCCTTAGGACCCCCAGCATAAGGAATGCCTGTGCAGAGGATGATCCACATTCCAAGAACAGTGCGGACAGGCACTGAGGTTGACTGGATCCTTGTTTAACTAAGCCCCGCAAGCTTCTCCAGCATAGTTTGGAGCACCCTTCAAGTTCAACTACCACTTCCCAGGGAGTAGGAGGTATGATGGTAGGCTGCACTTGCCTGATGCACTAAATTCTTTTGGGAATCAGATCTGAGAGAAGTGGCCCAGACTTTAATTTGACAAATGCTCAAAATGCAAATTCCTAGACTCACCACCCACTTAGATTTAGGTAAGAGGGACCATCAGGGTGACCAAGTGTGTGGAAACTGATCAGACAGATATGTGTCTGGGGAGACTAGGAGGCAAGAACTTGCCTTTCGCCTGTCCTTCCTGGGTTAAGCCTTGAATTCTTCTAGAGACGTTTTGTGTCGCCATCCGATGCTGGTCTCTTCATGGAGGTGGCAGCATGTTCTAGGTCAGGCAGTGGTCCCCAACCTTGGTTGCACTTTAGGATCACCTGGGAGAATTTAAAAACATCCAGGCTCTACCTAGGCTCACTTAGACTCCCAGGGGGGTAGAAATCCAAGCATCTATAAACTTTTATATCTTCCCATGACTCTAGTATGCAATCAAGGGTAAGAACCAGCTGGTACAAGGTACAGGGAGGTTGGGGGTGTGGTCAGGTGAGTGACTTGCTCCTAATTTTCAAGATCTCTTCATTCAGGTAAGTCCCCTCTGCCCTGGGGTTTTTGATGAAGATTATGTTTACAAGGGTTTCTTAAACATTTCGGAAACAGCCCAAATCCTAAAGCAAGTTATGATTGACATGAATTTTAGCTACCAGTAGCTATTTAAAAATATTTTAAAAAAATCAAAGTTTCTTCTGCAGGTGGTACATGCTGGATACTAGGACACGTGGAGGTTTTCTTGGAAGTTGCGTTTGGAGGTCATGCCTGGGTTGTTGCTGGAATGTGCCCTAAGCTCACTTTTTTTTTTTCCTGTACTATGGGGGTTGGGCATCATATCTCCCTTTCTAAGAGTGGGCTGTCCAAGAGGAAGATGCCAGACAGATACATTGTCCTTCTAGGGCTTCTGTTCAACTTACTGAACCCATCAGGGTAAAGGTGGGCAAGAGGGGCAGAGAGAACCCCAATCCACAAAAATAACTTGGGGAATGTGATCATTGAGATGCTTTTCACAAGCAGGTGCCTTCTGGAGCTGACCAGTGTTCCAGAGCTTCTTGTCTCTGCAAAAAGTTCTGCCTGCAGACGCTGACATGATCACTTGTTTTCTCATTTGCCCAAAGATCTGTTTTGTTCTCAGAATGTGCATTGGAAGCTGGCATTCTTCCTTTCTAGGGACCAGGGTGTTTGCAAGTGTGTTGTTAACTTGCTGATTATCCCTGATTGCATTTTTTGTGTGTGTGTGTTTAAAAAGAACTCATTTCCTCTGGGCAGGTTTGGATCAGCACTTTCCTGCAGAAAGAATCTCTATACTGTTGTATATGTATACAATTTGTCTTTTCTCTCTTATTTATTTTGTATGTGTGTGTTTTCCAGTCTCCAGTGGAATTTCTTCAGAAGAGATCATATGCAGTAATTGTTAAATAGCTGAATGCAATATGTGTATTTTAATAATTGTTCTTTCTACAAGGTTCAGATCACATCTTGGCCATGGATTGATAACTCTATTTGTTGAAGGCAAACACAAAAACATTAATTATTTGTTCTCCTGATGCATACATGGAATAAATAAACTGTTTAACAGTAACATTTGGCCAGCCTGGAAGAGAACCGTGCAAAGGTTGAGGCAGGGATGGGTGGTGGGGGAAGAAACAGAATTTACTGTTGATAACTTGGAGCCTGATGATCCCAGTAATTGTCATAATAGTTAATCAGTCACAAAAACGCATCACAGCGATTAGAAAATGCCCACTGCCTCCACACATAGTTAATTTTTAGAGGAAGCAAAAAATTTCACCTGTAAAATATTAAGGGCAAAATCATAGCAGCTGCTCGGTGTCAAGAAGTTCTGCATAAAACAAGACAAATAGCCAAGACAAATGCCTGCCCGTTTTCCCAAGGATAATGTGGTGAAGTGGGAAGTGAGATGGTAGCCATCCCTGTCCCCCTTAAATTGCACAAGGCAGAGAACTGAAACCAGAGGATGTATCCCCAGCGGTGAATCTTATGTATCAAGTACCTGATCATCCCAACTTGCGGTCTGGACCCTGCCATTTGATGGTGTGAGGGCTTGCACCTGGCATGGAAGATTTTTCAATGCCTTGGTGCTTTGGCAGTTCCAAGAACAGGGAGGGCTGAGAGGGTTCTTGCCCCATCACACGGACATGGTCAGGACCTGTTGGAGTCACCCTTTATGGTCCATTAGCTAGTGACATGCCTGGAATGTTGCTGTGGCCTGTCTGGCTCTCCATGCCTTGATGGCTCCAAAATGTCCCCATGATGCACCCCAGGAAGAGTGCACAGAGGGACCCATCTCCTGTAGTGCTTTGGGCTATGCTGATTCCCCACTGGGAAGACACAAGATATTGCTGTGGGAGATCTGGGCCCAGGGTAAGAGCTAAAGGATGCAGTATGTTCCCTTTCATTAGGTGTGCAGTGGGCACACCTATTAGTCCTGGCCACCCACTGAATTCTGCACAGCTTCCTTGGGAAATCTTCATTCCAAGGCTCCCACTCCAATTAATAGTAACACTGAACATTACGGCACATGATGGATAGACGGAGAAGAGGTCCCAGATTTTTACCTGACAAACAAAATACTTCAGTGTGCAACCAGTAGGGATCTTGGAGGACAGAAGTGTAGAAAAGTCAAAATGATTTCTAAAAATATGCATAACTGGTTTGGAATATAGTCAATCAACAGCACAGCATGTTCACCTGGCTTTTTGTTTAGCTTATTCCTGTCATGGTAGCCTCCAGGCTGGAGAAGGGGTAGCCTCAGCTCCTTCAGGGAACAGCCTCTTCATGGGAAAGGGTTTGCCATTAACTTGAATTGAGTTTGAATTCGATTATTTTTTTTTAAAACATTCTTCGTTATGAATGTGCATGTATTGAATTTCTCAACACCCTTATGGTTGTGAAGCATTGATTCACTGCCAAGGTATATAAATTTCAGTACCAGTTTCCCTGAAGAGTCCATTTAACACAGAGTCAGGCTGTTGCAGGGAGAGAGTAGAGCCAGGGAACAATGGAGAAGTCTCCAGGAGTCCATCTCCGCTCCTGATCCTCATGACACGGGCCTACCTGTGTCACATAGCATTTGTATGACCGCAGTTTGGGATAAATTTAGTGAAGTGTCCTATTCCACTGGCAAAGACAAAGTGGGTTCCGTGTCTGTTGCCTTCTCCTCCTGACTTGGGTAGCTGCCCAGACCAGAAGCTGCTTGTCTTGAGTCTCAGCCATTGTTTTCAGTTGTCAGGATCCTGTGGTGAGGTACAGTGGAGGGTGGTGTCCATAGGGACCAGAGCCTTTTACCAGGGCACCATGGTGAGATACCCACTAGTGGCCATCCCCCATCCCTCTTGCTACCTGAAGCTGACATCCTACTGAGGTTGTTTGATGTCTTCATGCCTCTGTGTGGCCTTCAGAATGAACATAAGTTACTTTTCTTTTTTTGAGAATGGAGTGACTCTTCCCCTCTATCTCTCAAAGCCAGAATGAGGATGGGATGGCATGTACCCAGCAGAGACTGCTTACCCCTGAGCATTTGCTGAGGTCCAGAGACATCAGACACGTAGTTGAGTTACCAGTGATGGCCCCAGTTGGGGGCACTTGAGTAAAAACAGCCATGTCCCCTCCTTTCTCCCCATTGCACACCCTGCTGACATCGTCACATGGCATTGTTCCTAATCTGTGTCAGCTGTGAATGGCCTTGGATGGATGGGGACCACAGGGGAGTGGTGAGTAATCAGAGGGGAAAGGAGAATTCCTTTCTGAATGCCTCTCCCTGGGATGGAGCAGGTAGCACAGAGGCAAGGTCTTAAAACGTACACAAAGGAGGGACCTGCTCCCTGCCTAGCCTAGCATTCAGACTCTAGATGGGATCAGCCCCGGCTCTCCACCAGCCCAGCCAGCCAGCAGGGGCTGTCGCTAAACGGAGCCTGAATAGGGGTCTGATTGCTCCTTTTTCCTCCTCCCCTCCTGATTACCAAGTGAGATTTCCTGGGTATGCTGTATGCTAAATGCTGAACAGCCGCCTGCCACTTGCTCCAATTATCCCTCTTTTAACTGCTGAGGGAAGAACAATTTTTCTAATCTCCCCCCTCCTATAACATCTCTGCCTTCTTTAAAGAAATAGGACCCTTCTTCCTTGTTCTCCCTTCAGTGGGGCGAACGCAGCCTCTTCCACGACGACGGCACACCAGCTGTGAGCTGCAAAGGGGGTGGGCAGTGGGTACCGCTCTGGTCCAGATTCAGGAAGGTGGAGGGTCAGGCAGGCTTTTTGCCAGGAGCCTTGGAATGGCAGGGGAAACCCCAATTGCAATTGGGAAAGAACCAACCCGGACCCAGCACTGGGGGCTAATTATTTTCAAGGCCCC